CATTTTCTTAATTTTTTGGTTTTTTTTATATACTCCTATTCTCCATCGTATTTTCATAAATTATATTAAAATATGTTGGTGGTAAAAAAATCAGAAAAAAGTTATATTAGATTTGATACTAAAAAGCCCCTTGAATCTCAAAATTACAAAAAGGCTATTACACATGTTTTTAACTAGAAATCATCACCAAACTTCTCATCCAAATTCACGCAAAAACACTCCCTTTTATTCAACCAAACAAATGCAAAATTCAACCAAAAACACGTCTAAAATTTAAACACATGTATTCCCTCCTTAGCACAATAATCAAACACCAAGAACAGCTTGCACTGTCTCATTTTATTCAGTTTCAGCATCTCTCCAATCATTTCTATCAAAGCCAGCATAAAACAGGACGGGCGATTCCACGTTCAAATTCTCATCAGCTTCAGCAAAGCCCACGAGATCAAATGCCATCCTGGAATTTAGACGAATGATCCATTCCCATTACCCTGTCAACTTCCAAGGCCGAAAAGAATGCAGCTTTCTTCATACCCCAGGAAGCAGTAACGATTGCAGTAGTTCAATAGGCAAAAAAAGGAGAAGTGAAAGTGTGATTTAAAATAAATTAATATTATCTCATCATTGAAACTGGACAAAAGCAAATTACTATATAATGAGAGATGAAAAGGTTTGATTTTACCTTGGAAGCCATGATTTGAAGGCCAGCATACTTGACATCCCAACTGAACTCTGTCATGGCCCAACCAATCCCACCAAAACAATGAGCATTGCTAATGACGTACTTCAAATTATGTTGCACTAACAAGGAAACCACTAGAATAAAGAATTATCTGAAATTGTAAGTTGACAACATAACCTCACAGGATCTTCTACAACTGTGCAATTAGGTTTGAATTAATCATGCACATAACCATTAACAGTAGGCTGTGCATCCTCCGGGTGAAGCCTGCTGTTCTCTCCCTTCAGGGCATGGCAAGCTCTTCTACAGCTGCAAGAACAACTTCTTCAGCACAAACTAACCTACCTCCTTTCATAAACGAAGAAAACCCATCCAGATCGAGAAATAAAAATAACCCATTGCTAAATAATGGTAACCCAAAAAATTGTTATCTGTGTTGCAGAGTTACAGGCGAGCGGAGTAAAAACATGATTAACCGTCAGCAGTATATAGCCAAGCACAGCACCGTGAAAATTCTGCTTCGCAAGTTTTATTTGGGTATTAAAGAAAAAACCTAAAACCCTTCGACTTTTACTGTTTATCAAGAGATTAAAGATAGAATTGTCCTTACACACACACACAACCCTTATTAAGCATCAGTTGCGGGAAGAATTAGGGGTAAACAAAAAAAAATTAAAAAAAACTAATTGAAATGTTTTAAAAAGAATTTAGTTTGATTTGGTATTGTAATACTGAAACTGATAAAATCTAACCAAATCAAACTCATTCAGATTAAAAAATATACTATAAATAAAAAATTATTTTTTATTCTAATCCAGTAGCCCTAATAACCGCCTCCTCCCCTTCGAGTCTTTAACCCTAGGCTTATTCTTTTACATTCAATAAGAAGTAAAAAAAAAAAAACCCTCTGCTTTAACTCTTTTGCCCTGGCCTCCCTAGTACAATTGTATTCTTTCCAACACTTTTTTTCTCTGTGAAATGGCTGGAATGCACTACCTCCAGCCCCATTTCTTTGCGCTTCTGTCATTATTACCTTTCTTGGCAAATCCAGCAAGAATCAAACACAAAATAAAACCATCTTTTTTCGTATTGTTCTCCAAACTCAAAAGGAGGGTGGTCATTATATTACCTGTTTTTTAGGTTTAAGCCAGTTAAATTTCTTCTTGTGATCGTTGTTGTTAATGCTGTTATTATTTTTATTATTTTTATTATTTTATGATTATTGTTCTTGATGATGATGATTATTATTATTTTTTTTCTTGAATATGTAACTCTAATTGTTGTTGTTAAGCGGGTGTGGATTGGAAGCACTTGTTTTACTTGAATTTGACTAAACATTCATCATATATCATAATTGTGTATAGGTTGTTTTAGTTTTTGAGGCTTCTCCATCTTTTTTTTTTTCTATTATTGAAACAATGCAACTATAGAATTACCCTTAGATTTTAAAAAAATTAAAGCTGCAAATATGGGTGTTTTCATCATTTCTATATGGTTTTATTATAAATATCATATGGAATCAGGAGTGATTAAGTATTTATATATATATATAAATTATTATTTATATTCAAAAATGATTAGCGTGTATTGAAAATACATTAGAAAATAGACACCGCCCGTGCTTTTTGCATAGAGCATGTGACACTAAAACAGAATCAAACATCATCTTCCAGAACAGTGTTTGTTGTGTCTCACCATCCTAAGCACAATGATGAGGCAGATATGTCGAGGTGGCCCACGAATGAGCTCTAACCAGGAGGTTTTCCATCCCTTTCTTTTCCTCTTTTTTCCTTCTAGAAAATCATGTTACCCATTGTAAAAAAAGCAAGAAGGTATGATTATTTGTCTATTAAGTTAAATTAGGTTATTATTCTTTTAATTGTAATATATTTGACCTTCACTTGTTGTTGAGTTTTTCTTTGTCAATTTCATCCCTTCAAATTATTTTTTATGAGAATTGGTCCTCATTCTTTTAATGAGTATTTGATCTTAAATCATTTATCAAGTTTTTTTTTTTAATTTTATCTCTTTACACTTGGTTTTTATATTAGATTTAGTATTCATTCTTTTGATTGTGATGTATTTTGTATTGAATCCTTTATTGAATTGATATGTTATTTAATTTCATCCCTTGACATTTTATTTTTATATCAAGTATGGTCCTAATTTTATTTTTTTAGTTATTCTTATCCTTTTCTATATTGAAATTGTTTTTCAATTCCATATCGTATAATTTGGATTTATTTTATTTTTGTTTCAAATTTAGTTCTCTTTTTTTTTATTCTATATTTTTTAATTTGTTCTTTTTAAATCTATATTTTTTAAACCACCTTTTTTAATTTATTTTTTCAAGTTCACTCCTAATTATGTTGGTTGGTTATGAGTTTTACATTGTTATTATTTTAGGTTTGACTTTTATGTTGTGATTAGTCTCATAATCCATGTTATAAAATTCTAAAGATTGGATGAGGTTGACTTTAATTATTTTTTATTATTTTTAAAAAGTTTTATCCATCATTATTGAATTCATTGAAAATTAGTATTATTTTTCTAGATTCATTTGTTAATTTGATTTTTTTTTAATTTTGGCCTTCAATTCAATATTTTTATTTGTCCTCTCTCTCTTTTTTTTTTTGCAAATTAAGTCCTTATTATCTTAATTGCTATTCCTTTAGATTTTTTTATTTATTATTTGACATTTTAATTATTGAGATTTGATCTCCTAAGTTTTTTTTCATTATTTACAAGCCTTATCCAGGAGTCAATATGAGACAATGATCATGTCAAGGGTCGAGTGGATTGATTTGAGTTAACTTAAGCCAATCAATTTTTTTTATTTTATAAAAAAAATCAAAAAGATACTATTCTAAAAAAAAAATATGTTCAATAAGTTTTGACTGGATTTTCCTTGGGCTAATTGAATCAGGGGTCAACTTGGATTTTTGATAATCTTACACTTGGTTAATTCTCTTCTAAATTTTTTTTTAGACTCGATCCAGTCATAGATCAAACCATTAGATCTAGCCAGATTTTAAAATAATTTTTCATTTATGATAGCATGATGTGAGTTTTTTTCTTTAAAATACAATAACAACACATAAATAATTTTTTTTTGTGTTGCAAGAACAATTATCTAGCTCGTGGCAAAGCATGGATCTCTCTAACAAGTATATATGTAAAAAAAATTATAAAAATAGAAAGAAAAAATAAAAACTAGATAATATTATAGGGTATTTTTTTATTATTCTAATTAAAAAAATATTGATACGATAAAATTTGGTTAAGTAAGCCAAATCTTTACTTTCAAATTGTACTGGATTAACGATAGGAAAAAAAGAAAAGAGGGTTAAAACCATGTAGTTTGAATAAAAACAGTTGAAATGGATTAGCCTATGAAATGTAAGTTGATTTGATGATGTAAGAAGTCATGATTTCTTTTCGAAATTGAGGGAAAGTGGTTCAAAGATTCGCTGTGTTCGGTAACATCAACGTGCACCAATGGAAGAGGATGAAATGGCAACCGTTGATCGTGACGATAAACGAGGGGGATTCGATTCATCCCAATTTGGTCGCAAAACATGGGAGAGATTCGAGGTGGTCATGACTTGTTAATTTAATTATTGTCCTTTGGTAAGGTTCACTGCCATATTGTCTAAATCACAGCGACTGGTAGATATATGTTCTCCATGCCTTGTCAGACACCAGGCATGTTCTTGCAAAAGAAAGTCATTGATCTCTCATTGAATTCAAAGCAACTATGTGCGCTACCTTTACAGCAAATTTCAGTATTTAAAATAAAAAAATAAAAAAATATTTTTTCCAAAAAAAGAGTAGTAGAAAATAAAAAATATTATAAAAATAAAAAAATAGTGATCAATTAACAAGGATAAAATGATAAATATATCAAATATAAAGAGAAAAACTCTAAAAAAATTATAAATTTGTCATTGATACACTAAAAAATTACAAATATTTAATTTCTATAGTAAAAAACAAAAAAATACATATTTTTCACCACTACATTAAAAAAATGAAAAAAATTTACAATTATATAAATTATACGGTAAGAAAAAAAAACTTTTTTAGTGTATAAAAACAAAAAAATTGCGGCTTTCTTTTTTAATTTAATTGAAATAATTCAGAAACAACTCTGCAGTGCGTGTCTGTATCTTTGACGTGTCTATGGCCGACGTGGATAAGGATAATCAAGGAAGCTACTAGGCAAGTGCCGAAATCTTCCACGCTCCCTTTTTCTCATTTTCCATCAATTTTGTCTTGTGCCATAAAATGCGAACCCGTAATAAGAACTCCACAACGCCTGCGCTTATTAGTTCTCTACGTGGACGTATCAATTTCAACTGACGGTGTTCGTCGAGTGTAGCGGTATCGTGATTTTTAAAATTATTTTAATATTTAACGTTAACTTCATTAAAATAAATCATAGATAAATAAAGAATTTATTTTAAAATTGATGTATTTTGTAAACCTAAAAACTTTAAATAAGTTTTAGATTTAAGTTATATACTCGCTCAGATCAACATAGACTAAGTCCAATTTCCAGTAAAATAACTTTAGGCTTATATAAAATTATTCTATCATTCTATGAATAAACAATATGAACATTAACAGGTTACCACTTGAATAATTTGTTTTGATGAAAAAACATATGGTTTTAAAGGCTTTTTTTTTATGACAAGTAATTAAAGTTGATAAATGGTGGAAATTAATTATAGTAATTACCATAATTAATTTTACATTAATTTTGATTTTAAATTTCAGTATAAATAGGGGCTGAAGAGGTGTTATTCTGTGCAACCAGAGGTTGCAATAGCTCTTTTGTCTTCTTCTTCTCTACTTTTTCATCTTTTTTTGTCTTTATATTTTTTTTTTGGTTTTTTTTCTTTCCGTGTCGGAGCTTAAGTTCTTGTGTATATTGTAGAGAAGTATCGAGTTCAATTATCCATTTGGTTCATGGATTTTTAAAGAAAGTGCTTTATTTAAAAGTTCAGTTGAAATCTCGGAAGACTATTTGCAAGACGATTGTTTGCATCAAGTGACAAACATTTTAATTTTAAAGACAAAGGATACAGTCATTCACAACATAATCTTTATTTCTTCATCCAAATATCTTCTTCAACATG